ACAGAGAGGAAGGGAGAGGGATAGAGAGTTAGAAACATCGATGAGAGAGAAACATCCATCAGCTGCCTCCCGCACACTCCCCACTGGGGATGTGCCCGCAACCAAGGTACATGCCCTTGACTGGAATCGAACCTGGGACCCTTGAGTCCACAGGCTGATGCTCCATCCACTGAGCCAAACCGGTCAGGGCTGGGTATTTAATTTTAAAGTGTGCCTTTAACATTTATGTAAAATGTTGTTGTACTCCTTCAATAGGAACTTATCTGGCCACTGGGTAAAGCTAGCAATAAAACTACTGGTCCGCAATGTGTTAAAGTCTTTACCATAGGCTAAAAGGTTAATAATGTCTTTGTGAAGTGCTTAATTTAGCATGATTCCCCACCAGAAGAATTGAGCAAGCTGAAATTTTTATTTTTTTCTAGCACTAACATATTATTTTCACTTTCAGTGGTTACCAATGACACAGGAACTGAGCTTTCAAAAATTTATTGAACAATCTGACTTACTAGAAGAACTTCAGTATGACTTCAATGAAAAAACTGATTTGAGACACATCGAGACACAAAGGCCTTTTGTCTTTAATTATTATAAAAATGTCCCTGAGAGAAATAGCAAGCGCTACCAGGCCCTTGGCCATTTGCTTGAAAAATACTTGTATGAGCTTTTGGAGAAAGTGTGCAAATTACAAAAAGTATACATCACACCAGAGGCTGATAAGGAATCAAGAAGCTTCTTTTTTTATGAGTGAGAGAGCATTAACAAATCATCATTCTGCTCTTCTTGTCCTTCTTCAGGACCAGGGGGTCCTTCGAGCTGGTCAATGGAGTCAGCAGGCAATAATATATCATGGTCTACAACATGGAAGTCAGATCCCATGTATTCAAATGGCATTGCAGGCACATTATGATGTAATTGTGTTAAACCCCAATGACAATTTTGTGGACCTAAAAATGGCAAAAGAGCGGAAAGGGCTTTTACCACAAAATATTGATTCCTCTTCCCTAAAAATGGTTCAAACTGAGAGCTTTTCCTCTCTCCAACAGCCTCTCCAATGTATTCCAAAAGGATGCAGCAACACCCCCGAAGAACACATGACTTACATTTGGGATTACTTCATTTCAAAGATTGAAGACAAGAATGTTGCCTTCATTGTACATGGTTATGGAGGCTTGGTTTTTATGGACTTGCTTGTTCGTAGGAAGTGGGAAGTAATGAACAAAGTATATGCGGTTGCACTTATTGACTCTCAACATCATGCAGGACACCAGCTGGGAAGTGATGTACAGTTATCAACATGGATAAAGCACCACTGCCAGGAATGGGTGACAAGTCCTAAGCCTTTGAATACACCTGCAGCTACCGTTTTGAAAAAAGAGTTTCCTATGGTTTCTGCTGGCACTGAAAACCATGACTTAGCCATTTCCTCCAGCCTTCAGTCCATTTTTAAATACTTTAAAAAAGCTCTGAAAGCCAAAACAACTATTAATTTCTCTCAGGTGCCAATGGTAACTAGAAGCTCCACAAAAATAAATCAAAGTGCTTAATTTACTTTTTTGTCATGTATAATATTTTTGTCCCACTGAAACTTTGCTAATGTAGATACTAGAAGAAAAGGAACACTTCTAGCTCAAACACAGTATTATACTCTGTATTAATGTTTGATTTGTTAATTTTTCTAAAGCGAATATGTTTTTTGTAGCCTATTATGCACCAGGAAGTCAGGCCATACCATCGTTAATATTTTACAGATTAGTCAAGTTAGAGGATCTTTCTTTTGAAAAGTGTCTTTCTTATGGCCTAATAGAATGGCACCAAAACTGTAGTCAATGGAAATTAAATAGTAAGTCAGTCTTTGATTTCTAAGTTATTAATGCCATATTAAAATTATAAGTGAACATAAAAATTAAATATCACAAGCAAATCCCATTCTTTGTATGTTTGTGTTCTTTTGTTTAAATTTTTTGGTTATGTATGTGTTTATTCATACCTTCAGCTAATATTTTAAGTGTCTCCTGTGTGCTAGTCAATACTAGGTATTGGAGACACTGGCAAACAAGGCCAACATTGCCTTTATCCTTATGTAGTTTACAATGAAAAACAAATTGCAAGCCTGGCCAGTGTGGATCAGTAGTTGAGCGTTGACCAATTCTGGTCAGGGCACATGGCGGGGTTGCAGGCTCAATCCCCAGTAGAGGGTGTGCAGGAGGCAGCTGACAGTGATTCTCATTATTGACATTTCTATCTCTCTCTCTCTCCCCTCCTCTATGAAACCAATAAAAATATTTTTTTTAAATTGCAAGTGTGAAATAAAGGGTGCTGTGGGACATCTAGCATAAGAGCTAACAAGTCTGGAGGTTCAAAGAAGACTTCCCTAATAAAATAAAAATAAATAAAGCAAAAAACAAAGTACTTCCCTGAGAAAAAGGTGCTTAGTTTAAAGAACAGTAGTAGTTATCTGACAAAACAATAACAGGCAAAGGAACAGTATATGCAAAGATCTGGAGGCAGGAGGAAAAAGTCCAGGTCAGCTAAAGCTAAAAACTTAGGAGGGACTAGAGTTAAAGAAAACATTATTGTCCAGCTGGTGTGGCTCAGCTGTTGAGCGTCAACCCAGGAACTAAAAGATCACCGCTTTGATTCCCAGTCAGGGCACATGCCCAGTTAAGGGCTGGATCTCCAGTAGCGGGGCACGCAGGAGGCAGCACATCGATGTTTCTCTCTCATCAGTGTTTCTATCCCTCTCCCTTTCCCTCTCTGACTCAACAAAACCATATTTTTTTAAAAAAGAAAACATTATTCATTTACATTTGTTAAAGACAATAAGGAAGACTATATTCAAGAGGCATTACTGCAAAGGGGGTTTTGCAGTATGGGATAGAGATTAGAATCAACCCCAAATACAAGGAAGAGTTGAGGGTTTTGTAGCCAAGAAGCAGGGTAAAGGTCAATGAATGGAAAATTACTAAGTGGTAATATCAGGGGGTATGGGAGATTCTTGCTAGACAGATTTAATGGGATTCTTGCTGAAGGAAAGCCAGGGTGATATACTGAGAGTGCAGGATGAGGAATTTTATCAGATATAAAGAATGTTCCAATAACAAGGGTGGGAGATTTTCGCTAAACTAACTCAGCAGAATACTTGCTACAATTGTACTAAGCCCACTAAGGGCAGAGCCCAACATTGGAGCCTAGTTAAAAGGAGGGCTCAGAGGATCCAGACCCAGATTTGGTTAAGGAGAGAGGTTTATTTATCAGTGTTACAGAATGTACCAGGCGACCAAAAAAATATGCAAGAGTACCGGAGGCACAGGAAAAACCCATTTATTTCCAGACATTTCACATGTACCGGTACAGGACTCAGGGGAGATTGTTTCTCTCAAATCCTGAGTCAACCAATATGGAGGAAGCTTTCCCTTTATACCCCTTTGGTTTCTTTGTCCCCCAAATATGGATCATACTTCTGGACCTTTTGTGGGCTTTGCAAAAAGCCCCATGTGCTGGAATGAGGGCAGTGAGACCAGATCTCAAGGCCTGGCCTGGCACCAGCACTGATAATTCCGTCTGGGGATTGTATTGTTTATGGCCCCTCTAAAACAGGAGTAACAGGTCTTGCAAGACCAGACAATTAAAGGGGCAGTGGCTAGACCAGCCGTGGGCAAACTACGGCCCGCAGGCCAGATCCGGCCTGTTTGAAATGAATAAAACTAAAAAAAAAAAAAGACCGTACCCTTTTATGTAATGATGTTTACTTTGAATTTATATTAGTTCACACAAACCCTCCATCCATGCTTTTGTTCCGGCCCTCCGGTCCAGTTTAAGAACCCATTGTGGCCCTCGAGTCAAAAAGTTTGCCCACCCCTGGGCTAGACTATAGGCTAACAAGAATGTGCATTAGATTAATGGCACAGATTCAGATTGCTAGACCCCAAAAAATGTCTCATTTTCCCCACCATCAGTAGCTGGAAAGTTAAATTAGATAAATAAGGAAAGGCAGGCAGCTTATGCAAGGCTGCATTGTCCATGGTTAAGATTTATGACTTGATTCTAATGACAATGAAAGCCATTGGATAGTTTTAAACAGAAGAATACTATCAGATTTACATTTTTAAAAGAATATCCTGATTGTTAGAAGAAGGACAGGCTTGGAATCAAGGAGACCAAATTAATTTTGGCAGTAGTTTGAGAAGTACTTAATACTCCTAATGAACATTTTATTACTGATTGGAGGTCAGAAATGAGGAGAAGGAAATGACATGGATCACTTTCAGATTTTTGGCTTGAGTGACTAGATACATAGAAATTTTGTTTGCTGATATAGGGACTTACTGGTGAAATTTTTATTTTGGCTGTTCCAGAAAGTTTTAAAAAGAGAAAAAAAAAAGAGAAAAAACAATAGCTCACAAATTATTTTTTAGCTCTTTCCATAGATGAATAAAAGATGAACCTATATTAGACACTGCATTTAAAAAATTCTCAGTCCTAGCCAGTTTTGCTCAGTGGTTAGAGCATTGGCCTGCAGACTGAAGGGTCCCAGGTTTGATTTCGGTCAAGGGCACATGCCTGGGTTGTGGGCTCGATCCCAAGTAGGGGGCATGCAGGAGGCAGCTGATAAATGATTCTCACTTGTCATTGATGTTTATCTCTCTCCCTCTCCCTTCCTCTCTGAAATCAATAAAATTATATATATATTTTTAAATTGACTCTCTCTGCCCTAGCTGGTTTGGCTTAGTGGATAGAGCATTGGCCTGAGAACAGAAGGGTCCCAGGTTCAATTCCGATCAAGGGCACATACCTTGGTTGCAGGCTTGATCCCCGGCCCTGGTCATGGTGTGTGCAGGAGGCAACCAGTCCATGTCTCTCTCACATTGATGTTTCTCTCTCTCTGTCTCTCCCCATTCCTTCCAGTCTCTTTAAAAAAGAAAAAAAATTGACTCTCTGCCATGTCTACTAGGACATACAGCTGTTTCTGTACATAGTTATATCTAGCATCTACTATTTTAACCTAGCGTATACTCTATTTCTGTTATGGGCTGAATGTTTGTACACCCCTGAAATTCATATTGAAATCTTTTTTTTAAATATTTTTATTGATTTTTTTACAGAGAGGAAGGGGGAGGGATAGAGAGTTAGACACATCGATGAGAGAGAAACATCGATCAGCTGCCTCCTGCACACCCCCCACCGGGGATGTACCCACAACTAAGGTACATGCCCTTGACCGGAATCGAACCTGGGACCATTCAGTCCACAGGCCAATGCTCCATCCACTGAGCCAAACCGGTCAGGGCTCATATTGAAATCTTAATCTCCAATGAGATAGTATTAGAACAAAGGGCCTTTGAGAGGTGATTAGATCATAAGGGTGGAGCCCTCATGAGTGGAATTAGTGCTCTTATGAAAGAGACTCCAGAGGACTCCCTTCCGTGGTGTGAGCACACAGCAGGAAAACAACCACCTGTGAACCAGTAAGAGGCCTTCACCCCACACTGAATCTGCTAGTGCTTTGATCATGGACTTCCCAGCTTCTAGAACTGTAATAAATAAATATTGGTTGTGTAAGGCTCCCAGTCTATGATATTCTGTTATACCAAACCAAACAAACTAACACTATTCCTTATCAGCAAAGCCATAAGATTTCAAGTTTTTCTTCTTTCTGCACCAGGCATCATAATAATAAAAAAATAAATAAAAATAAAAAAGGACACTGAATTGTTTATCAAGATATGCACATTTTAAATGAATTTCAGCTTTGAATAAACCATTTAATCTCTCCCAGCTTTCATTTCCTATTTTGTAACTGAGGTGAGCTTTGAAGTCCCCCCAAGATAGTCTAGCTAGAATGCATTTAATATACCTAATTGAAAAGCACACAAAAAGTAAAAAATTAAAGTGACACTGTAAAAGCTATTCTATCTTGCATTTATTTAATTGAAAGTTGATCTTTCTCATAACTTCCCACTTACTATTTGATCTTTTTGTCAGATGTATTGGGTATCTATTGCTGCATTATAGATTACCCCCAAAACTTGGTGCTTAAAACAACAAACATTTATCTCTCAGTGTCCATTAGTTAGGAATTCAGGAACAGTTTAGTTGGGTGTCTCTGGCTGGGGATCTCAGGGGAGAATACAGTCAAGCTGGATGTGCAGTGATCTAAAGCTTGACGGGCTGTTGGCAGGAAGCCTTAGTTCCCCGCCATATGCACTTCTTACGTAGGCCGCTTCTGTTAAAGAAAAAATTATTCTGACACTTGTTAAAATGGTAAGAAACCCTTTATTCAGGGATATTGCAATAGGGAGAAGAGATCAGGATCAACTCTGAATACAGCAAAGACAGCTGGGAATTTATAGCCAAGGAGCAGAGTGGAATTAGTGCTCTTTGGAAAATTACTGAGAGGAGACATCAGCGGTAGAGGTATTCTTGCTAAAGGCAGGCCAAGGGCGTAGATATCAAATGTGGGGAAATGAAGTAGCAGGACTTTTGCTAAGACTGGTCGGGCGAGGATAAGATGTTACACAGAAGGCCTCGGTTGTGGACTAGTCCAGAAGCAGACTCAGAAGAGCCTACTGAAGTTTGATCCAGGAGAAAGTCTTCGTCACTTGAGTGTCTTCTCAACATGGCCACTAGCTCCCTCCAGGTCATGGTGGATAGTCATGCCTCAGGCCTATA